CGCAAGCGCCTCTAGCAGCTGTCAATGAGACAGCCACTAGAGGCTCTGGAGGCTGGATTAACCCTCAGTATAAACATAGCAGTTTCTCTGAAACTGCTATGTTTATAAAAAAAAAGGGTTAATCCTAGAGGTACCTGGCACCCAGACCACTTCATAAAGCTGAAGTGGTCTGGGTGCCTAGAGTGGTCCTTTAACTATAGCTATGCTAGGGGTATGGGATAAATGCTTCAAAGAGCTCGCTACACTTACCCAGATTAACCCTATCACTCACAGCCCTACCACTCATGTCGCTGTGTCCTTGACTTCAGCAAGCTGAGGTACATAGCTTTAGGAGGCCACACTAGCTAGCAGGGCGACACTACACCCTACCTCTTTAATCGCCCAGATTAGGCGAAGTTTATGTTCGGTTTAGCGACCATCACCTGTTTACTTCTAACGTTACCATGTTGTACTGTATTCAAGCATACCTAGATCAAGCTCATATGTCATTCATTTATTTTAACAAAAACATAGAATGTGCGGACCTTTTCTGCTTCAAATTATAAAACTGTGCAGTTCTCTCACTTGCCATGTCGGATAATGTATGTTGATGTTATGCCTGTGACTGCTGTTGTGGCAACACGGGCTTGCTGTTTTAAACTTGCACTACAAAAATAAAGAATAAAAAAAAAAAAAAAAGATATGTAATAGGGTTGATGTTTCAGGAGGGATAAGTCAAATGGCAAATGATTTAGGTAACCTAGAAAACTGGTCAGAGTTGTGGCAACTGACATTTAATGTGGATTCGTGCAAGATAATGCATCTTGGATGTATAAAACCCAAGGGCAGAGTACAGAATATTTGATAGAGTCCTAACCTCAACATCTGAGGAAAGGGATTTAGGGGTGATTATTTCTGATGACTTAAAGGTAGGCAGACAATGTAATAGAGCAGCTGGAAATGCTAGCAGAATGCTTGGTTGTATAGGGAGAGGTATTAGCAGTAGAAAGAAGGAAGTGCTCATGCCATTGTACAGAACACTGGTGAGACCTCACTTGGAGTATTGTACACAGTACTGGAGACCGTATCTTCAGAAGGATATTGATACCTTAGAGGGTTCAGAGAAGGGCTACTAAACTGGTTCATGGATTGCGGGATAAAACTTACCAGGAAAGGTTAAAGGATCTTAACATGTATAGCTTGGAGGAAAGACGAGACAGGGGGGATATGATAGAAACATTTAAATATATAAAGGGAATCAACACAGTAAAGGAGGAGACTATATTTAAAAGAAGAAAAACTACCACAACAAGAGGACATAGTCTTAAATTAGAGGGACAAAGGTTTAAAAATAATATCAGGAAGTATTACTTTACTGAGAGGGTAGTGGATGCATGGAATAGCCTTCCAGCTGCAGTGGTAGAGGTTAACACAGTAAAGGAGTTTAAGCATGCGTGGGATAGGCATAAGGCTATCCTAACTATAAGATAAGGCTAGGGACTAATGAAAGTATTTAGAAAATTGGGCAGACTAGATGGGCCGAATGGTTCTTATCTGCCGTCACATTCTATGTTTCTATGTTTCTATGTAAGCAGCTCCATTTTTTGGGGCCCTTTACACAGCTCAAGGTCTGGGTCCCAGGGTCCACCTTCATGTTCCACCAATGAGTTTGTTCACAGGGGGTTGAGTGTGTAGGGGATGTCCTGATATGTGTGTAAGGAATGCATTGTGTGAATCTGTGTTTGTATGTGTAAGGGCTGCAAGGTGTGTTTCTGTGTATGTACGGGATTCAGTGTGTGCGTCTGTAAGGGGTGTGTAAGGAATGTATTGTGTGTTTCTGTGTGTGTGTAAGGGATGCATTGTGTGTAAGGGTTGCATTGCTTGTGTGTGTGTGTTTTTCTGTGTGCAAGGGGTGCATTGTCTTTGTGTGTAAGGCAGTGGTGTATCCTGGTTTTGTGCTGCCCTAGGCAGGACAAAACTCAGGCACCCCCCCGCGCTACCGCCACCCAACCCTTCCCCCCTACTCCGCCTACTAAATACACACACACATTCACTGACAGATACGCATTCACTAGCTAACAGACAGACACACACACAGACAGACACACACACACACAGACACACACATTAACAGACAGACACACACACACACAGACAGACACAGAGACACACACAGACAGACAGACAGACACACACAGACACACACACTAACATACAGACACACACTAACAGACACACACACACTAACATACACACACTAACAGACACACACACTAACACTAACATACACACTAACAGACACAAACACACACACTAACAGACACACACACTAACACTAACATACACACACACTAACATACACACACTGACACACACACTAACACTAACATACACACTAACAGACACAAACACACACACTAACATACACACTAACAGACACACACACACACACACATACTAACAGACACACACACTAACACACTCACTTGTGTTTTTTATTTTTTTTATTTAACCCCCCCAGCCTCCTTACCTTTGGGAATGCTGGGGGGGGTTCTTCCTTCTCCCTGGGTCCAGTGGCTGCAGGGCGGGCGGGCGGCTGGCCGGCGAGGGAGCTCTTCCCCTGAGCGTTCTGCTCAGCTCCCTCGCGCGCCGCCAGCAGAGTGAGGCTGGGAGCCGGAATATGACGTCATCTTCCGGCTCCCGGCCTCACTCTGCTGGCCGCGAGCGAGGGAGCTGAGCAGAGCGCTCAGGGGAAGAGCTCCCTCGCCGGCCAGCCGCCCGCCCGCGCGGCATGTCTGTTAGCCGCGAGGCTAACAAGGCATTTGCCCTGGGCATTTGGGGGCGGCTTTTTTGCCGCCCCCTGAAAAATGCCGCCCAAGGCAAATGCCTTGTTTGCCTCGCGGCTAATACGCCCCTGGTGTAAGGGGTGCATTGTGTGTGTGTGTGATGGATGTCACTCTCACCCCCCCGTCAATTTCTTTCCCCCTCCCCTACCTCTGTTGTAGCGTGGCTGAGCTCTGTATGGTCTGCAGAGCGCTCGGGCGGCTGCAGCATGAGTGGGGCCGGCGCTCCTGGCGGCGCCCCTTCCCAAGGGGCACCCTAGGCGGCTGCCTAGTCCGCCTAACAGGTAGCGCCGGCCCTGCCCCTACACTACGGTGCCCTACAAAGCTTAAAAATACATCTGCGTGATAATATTCTTTATTCAGAAGAGGTTGATTTGATTCCTGACATGAGAATAGAACTATTCTGGTGGCTAGAACATGTTCAAAATTTGGAACGGCAAAGCCATTTTCACTTCCTTCCCAGATCCAATTATAGAACCCGACACGAGCCGAGTTGGTTGGTGAGCTTGTTGAAGATTCCACATGAGGCAAATTGTCTCTATAAGAGATACATATGCATATAAACTGCAAGATTTTTTGCTCTATACTGTTTTGCAAAACAAGTCTCATTGTTGCGTTCTACTCAGGATGGATAATATGTGAATCGCTTAGGCGGTACAAAACCAAAGCAACTGGCAGACATTGCCAAATATTTTTGGCGATTTTGCTTCGATTAGAACATTGTTTTGCAAGTAGAATATCTTCCCGGTCTTTCCAATACTGTAGCAGATTGGAATTCCAGATTCCTAGTGTATTACAGCAACTGGATGTTGGATTCCATAATTTTCCAATGTCTATTTTCCTGGTGGGGCCTGTTTCAATATGACCACTTTGCATCACGTCTCAGTTGTCAATTAGGAAAACAAAATGAATTGGCGTCTGAATCCAGACGAGTTAGTTTAAGATGCATTTCTCCAGTGCTGGAAAGGCTGAATCAGTTATGCATTCCTACCCGTTTGCAATGAAATCTCGGGTTCTTCTGAAAGTATTGTCTCAGAAATAAACCATAGTGTTAATAACTCCTCTCTGGCCATCACAACCTTCGTATCCTCAACTTCTCAGCATGAGATAATTACCCAAGCCTCATACAGATGCGCCGGGATTCTCTTTGTGATCTGAATGGAAATCTTCATCCTCTTGTAGTATCGGGCCAACTACCTCTCATAGCATCTCTCATCTCGGGTCACATGAATCTCATATTGAGTTTTCAGATTCAACTAGAAACATTTTCTCAGAAGCATGGGCACCGGGTACCAGTGCAAATTATGGAACAGGCTGTGAATCCCATACATTCTGATTTAGCAAATGTCTTTCATTTTTTTACCTTTTCATTTGACTTGGGCAAAGCTTACAGCACCATTAATGTCTATCGCTGATCTATTTCAGCAAATCACGACCCTATTTAGTCTTTTCTTAGTCATCCCCTAGTCTGCAGACTTATGAAGGGTATTAGATTTAAGCGCCCTCCATGCCCTAAATATCATTCTATGTGGGATTTTACTCTGGACCTCCAACTAATAGAATCTTGGGGAAACAATGATTCATTATCCCTAAAATTGCTTTCATTTAAACTTATTACTTTACTGTCTCATTTTTTTGTCCCACCTAGATGAGCTGCCGACAACATTTTTGCTTATACACTTCCTCATTCCTCACCAAGTTCTGCCTCTTCCATCTAGGAGTTATAGCATCAGGCAGAAATTACATCTTTGGGAATACGTTTCCTGGAGTTCTATTGCATAACCTTAAAGAACCAATCTGAATATCTCAGGTTAGCTGCAATGTGTAGGTTCGGTAACTACTAGTGAGTGTGGTAAAAACAAAACAAAACAAAAAAAACACACTGGGTGGTGTACTACTGTTCTCTAGTGGTCAAAGTGAGTAGTGCATGCATGTCTTTAAAAATGAATGGATAATTTGTGTGAAATTAATCATTTTAAAATCTAAGCAATATATGCACTGAAAATAGAAAATCACAATTCATAAAAGGTACCTGTGAACCTAAGAAAACATATGCTTGAAGTCAAGTGAATGAAAATGTTTTTATTAAAAAAAAAAAAAAAAAAGAGCATGACACTTTTATTTTTCCCATGTGTCTTACAGGCAACACCGAAAGCTGTAATCAGTTCAGTGGGAACGGCAAGAGCTCCTCTGTATTTTTTAGTATTTTATGATGCCTACTTAGCAATACCACACCTGAAAACTCACCAAAGTGGAAATTGCTGGCATGTAAACTCTAGTTTTAAAAAAAAATTCTGGGGTCATATTACAGGCAAACTAATTTCAGTTTCCAAATTTATCCAACTGGTTTACTCGGTCCATGTCTCTTTGTAGACAAAACAGAAGTGCCCATCTAAGCATTTGTGTTAAAAAAAAAAAAAAAAAGAGAAAAACGAACTGCACTCCAATCATGTGCAAAAATTGGACCAAAGGCCAGCACCAGCCCAAAGGTGTAGATATCAATGGTAGACAGAGAATCCAGGCACTACAAGTATCATCGAAATTATTTATTTGACAAAGACCCTTTTCATGGGTCAAAACATTGCAGTGTCTCACTTGTCTGAATAAAAAGCAATTAAAATAGCTCAACACAATGAATGCTTCAAGTGGTTTCCCCAAAGGCCACCTATGACTTCTCCAGTCTCAAAATTATTCAATCCCCTGGATAGAATCCCTCACAACAGCACAAATATGCAAAACATGTGGTCTCAAGCACACCTGATACAACTAATAAAGGGCTTAATTAGTGCTTGAGCTGGAACAGTTGAAATACTTGAACTGGCTAGGGGTTTGTATCTAACTGCATGCTGGAAATATGGCTAAGGCAAAAGAATGGTCCACAAAGTTAAGAGAAGAGATCATCGCCCTTCCCAATCAAGGAACAGGATACAAAAAGATAGTGAATGTTCCAAGAGACCTGGATGACTTTAAACCGAAGTGTTTTTAAAACCATGAATGCTCTCAAACAATACTGTCAGTGTTTTTAATTTATATATTTACATGAATTTAAATAAATGGTAGTGTGCTGTACTTGTTTTTTTGTATATTTTACATGATATTTCACATTGTGGAAATTGACTATTTAAACATTTAACAGGACCACTAAATGCACCCAGACAGCTTAATTTCAATGAAGCAGTGTGGGTGCAGTGGCCCTGTAGTTTTAATCGTGCAATGTAAAATGTACAGTTTTGTAGAAATTGCAATGTTTATATTGCAGGGTTAAACACTACTCTAGTCGGTGTATTTCTGATACAACGATAAAGTGAAACTTGGTCATGTGACCAAATGCAATTTATAGTGAAGTATTGAATTCAATGCTTTCCTATGAGATGCATTTGATTGGATGCTTACTGCGTTTGCCACGCATGCGCATCAGTCCCCAGTGCTCCTCTATGAAGAGCATTAGATAAGAAGAGCTAGAGAGTGACAGCTCTCGGATGAAGTTGCAGAAGGCAGAAAAGGCAACAGCACCAAGGGAGTCTCTTTGCTGGAGAAAAGTAAGTAAAAACATTTTATTCTTTTCAATAATTTTTCTTGCATTTGGGCTTTCATCTAGTCCAACTATGGACTGTGGCACTATAGCATTAGGAAGGCAGATATGTATTCCTAACAAAATACTGTTCCTTTAAAAAGGAATTAAAGTTTTTTTATTCCCCATATAAAATTTCTTCTAGCATTGAAATTTTAGGGTGTGCAACACATCATTGTTGATAATTACAATTTTTTTTTTTTTAAATCACCCTGGTCTCTGATAGTTGCAAGCAATCTTGTATATTTAAGGTGACAGCACCATCTATTTTTTGTGATCTTGTATTTGCTAACCCACCACCTTTTTTTTGTTTTGAATTCTGTGTGAATAATTGCGTTGCTGTTTATTTTGTGAAGATAAATACAGGTGGAGTTGTGGTTATTGGATGTCGATATTAAACACTGATACAGTGACCAAAGATCTCCAATTCTCCTCTCACTTACAAGTGATCATGAATCGTGAGAGAGGGAAACTTTGAGGTAAATATATTTTAAGTATCTTTTCCCATCACCCCTTGAAAAGGGGGGAAAAAAACAAACACAAAATGAAATTACCAATGTATTATTTAGAGCTGCCCCACTATCTCCAATCTACTACTATATTGGTGGTGAAAAATACTCTCAAGGTAGGCATGGATACTTCTCTACTTCTCCTCAACTCTTTAACAGAACAAAAACCCTAAATTAATTTATCACTTTATTATAAGATGCACATAACCTATATTGTGGTTGTGGTTAATTTCTCATCCACAAGTGAGTACCTGATACTCCAAAATATTTTTTTCCTTTATAATGTGTGAAAACTGCAGACAATAAAAGTACTTGTTACCACGTATGCCAGTAAACACATCCTGATTCTATACGGTCACCATGTGACAGCAATTCACATACCTACAATCCAACCCAAATGGGTATATGTGTAGAACCCATGCAAGAGCCACGAGAGTATCATGGCAAAAGAACTCTCTTATGAATATATATCACCATATCAATTGTTGGTGCTGCACTACGTAGCATGCATAAGTCAGAAAAACTAGATTAAAAATGTCATTTTATTTCTAAAAGATTTCCATTTGTAATATTTTGGATTATACTAGTGATTTGGTAAAATTTTTGTGTTTCATAACTTATTTAGCTTTGAGCCCATTGTAAGACGCTCCACAGGTCCTTGGCACAGAGTCTGCTCCACAGTGTAAGAATCCTGGAAAGATCTTAACTACATCGACAGTCCAAATGATCTGTTGAATCTAAATCAGTGCTTGATCTTCTTTAAGGCATCACAGTGAATTAAAGGTTTGAGTCCTAAAAGTCAAGAAAATTAATGGCTTCTGCCCAACTATCCAGCTCTTCACAAATGTCCTAGCTACGGTAGTCCTTGAGAAGCTGGTTTGCAATCACAAGCCTCTGGATTTCACTGGTGCCTTCATAAATTTCTGTGATTCTTGCATCTCGGTAATAGCGTTCAGCTGGCATATCTGTCACATAACCCATGCCCCCAAGGATTTGAATTGCCTAAAAGAATTACAGAACAGGGACAATCAAAAATAATTAGCTTCAATATCCATACTGCTGGAGTCATATTTATGGTTTAATTCAACTTGAAGAAGGAAGTTTTGAATATACTACACTCATGGTCAGAGAAACTTAGCACTAACTTATTCTCCCATCCCATCTACTATTTTTAATAGACACTTCAGCAGAATGGTTATAGAAATAAAATACATATTTTTTTGTTTTTTTTTAAAAGAAGCTATTAGAAGAGGGGCTTCTAGGCTTCCACTCTCCGGACTATGTGAACGATGTAGTCCTCCACGATCCCACAGCAGCCGATATACAATAACTATGATTTTATTGGGGGTAAAATGAATAACTGGCTCCACTTGGATAGCCCTGCTCTGATATATTGCTCCAAAGTGGTGTTATGAATGTTACCTGATGAGAAACTCGTGTAGCAGCCTCAGATGCTGCAAGTTTTGCCATTGCTGCTTCCTGATGAGAAAAGAAAAAACAAAATACTAAAAAAATAAAAAGTTGTAAAATCTCAAAATGTCATGTTTGATTTTATGAACAGATTGTAAGCCAAGCCACTGCCACTTTTAAACACAGACTAAATACAGTTTATTTTAAACTCTGAATCATCATTCAGTGAACTGGAAGTGGATTGACAAAACTGAGGCTAACATTTTTAGGTTGGAGAAGTTCTCTAACTTTGCCGTAGTCACAGCTTAGCTAATTTCAGCCTGAATTTTGTAATTGGACTACAATTTGGACTTAAACAGCAGATTTGTGGATAGCCCTTCTAATTAGTGAATTTGGCCTTTTCAGTGACACTCATTACAAAAAAATGGAGCCACACAATTGAAAAGATTGTCAGTTGCATGGCCCTTATTGATTGATCACAGACTTACACTGCAGCTGCATCTGTCAAAGAATATTGAACATTTTGCAATACCATACTTTTCTTTACTGGATAGATTCATGGCATTCAATAGGATCCCCCCTGTCCACTTGGCTGCATAGGACAGGAAATTAAATTGTAAATTTACCCTGTATAATGTTCAATGACTGAAGTCACCGGCACCATCCCCCAAACTCCTTCCACTCCGGAAAAAGAAAATTGCAGTAAGTAAGGCTAAAATTTTCCAGATTACTGGCTAATCTTTGGAACTATAAAGAACCCTTTTCCCCAAAAGAAATAGATACTGTTGCACGAACATCACGTGCATAATATCTCATAACCATATTGACAGAAGACTATGTGGCTGCCATCAAGATGCTCTCAACTAGAACATTCACTGCAGTTGCCCATGAAGAAGAAAGTGCTCTAGTGGCGAGAGCTTGGAGAACTTTGGAAAGATCCTTCCAATAAGTCTTGCCCTCTACATTCTCTGGATGGAACAATAGCAATCAGGCTAGGATCAGAACGGCTTCATGCGCATTCTGTCAACAAAATCCCCAAGATCAGTGTGGTCATTGTGAGCAGTAACAGCAGTGAAGTAAGTAATGGGGAGCAGGAATGCGGAATTGCACACACCTATCAAAATTACACTTCTACTCTACCATTGTATTACCCTATATATATAAAAAAAAAATCCTTATCTAGAAAGATACTCTACAATTGCCAGCAATTTGTCTGGTAAAATGTAAAACAAAACTGGTGTTTTACTCTCATCAAATGACAAGTTTTAAAGTTGAGAAACACATTTACATGCAGTTGGTATCTGATATGCAATAGGTATCTTTCATAATGCTTTTGAAAGCTCTCTAAACATTATGTATGTGAAAATACAATACAAGGCACATTATTCTGTCAACAATGCAGATTACACCAGAGCTCACCTTGGTATAAGGTTTTTTGTTATCCTTCAGCATGGAAGCTCTCCACGTAAGCAGCCGAGCGCTTTCCAGAGCCACTGCCATGTCTGCCAGCTTAAACTGAAGTAAAAAGAAATGAACATTTAGTGCCGTTAACGTAATCCCAAATGTATAGTACATACGCACTCAAGAGTCCCGTACCTGTATGGCTTGTAATTTACTGATAGGTGCTCCAAACGCAAAGCGCTTCTCTGAATAATCTACAGCACAGTCCAAAGCAGCTTGTGCAATTCCAAGTGCCTGAGATGCAATTCCAATCCTACCAGATTCCAATGTTTGCTATATACAGACAATTAGTGAGAGTGAAGCAGCATTATTATCATTTACAGAATCTATACTGTGCAGTCCTTACCATGGCTATTTTAAAGCCCATTCCTTCCTGTCCAAGAAGATTCTCACGAGGAATTCGACAATCTTCAAAGATCAAGTTTGCTGTGGAGGAGGCTCTAATACCTAACTTGTCTTCCTTCTTCCCAAGGGAGAGACCTGGAGTTGGCATCTCCACTAAGAAAGCACTGATACCCTGTAACAGAAAATCTAAATTAATGGAACCTAGGGAATAAGGTCATTAGAGAAAACACATAAATTGCCAAACTCCATAAATGATCTAACATTATAGATTTTTAATAGTACTCACATCATGGGACATACGAATAAAGATTTACCTTGTGTTTTAGTGACTTGTCAGTTGTTGCAAACACGACAACTGCTGAGGCATCCCAAGCATTTGTGATCCATGATTTAGTGCCATTAAGAACCCACTCTTCACCCTCCAGCCTAGCAACTGTGCTTGCTGCACCTGCATCACTTCCATTACCTGTGCAAGGCATCGATGTTCAGAAAAAAATAACTGAAAATAAGACATTGTGCAGCCAATAGCTAGACAGTCTTACAAGTGAGAACCTGATTGATTTAACATACCTGGCTCACTGAGTGCAAAGCAACCAATCTTCTCTCCACTACAAAATGGAGAAAGCCACATTTTTTTCTGTTCTTCTGTAGCATACTTTAAAATGGGTCCTAAATACAAAGACTAGACAACAGGAACAAAATAAATCAATGTATTGTTTCTCATCCTATGTTCAGCCCTTAGCATTAGCTGAGATTAGTTTTCAGTCTGCACCATGCAGAGTAGTAAGAATATATATATCTATCTTATCAATGTTATGTATGAATAATGAATAAGTAAGCTATTCCCTATGTCATGTAGGATACATTTTGGCTATGTTTTTGCACATGTAAATGTACATATTAAAATGCCAAGTGGACTTTATATAAGAGGGAAATAAAAGAGCACATTCACAACTTTCGTTCTAACATAATGGGGTTTTTATACACCAAATCTGTAATTCTGAAAAACTGACAAGGCTGTCAAGAATTTCCCATTTCAAAATTGTTAAAGTGGAAAAATTCACTTGAAATTAATTTTAAAAAAAAATCAGCTATTTCCAGCCCAGTTACACTTTAATTATTTGCATATATAGTATCAACCTATAAATAGATATATAGAGCAGGAAACATGAAAAAGAGGGAGAATTGATGTGAAAAAAAGAAACTTGGCTGATGTAATACTCAAAGAATGTAAAAACCATGTAGAGCACAGTGTGTGTATATGGGGCAATAAACTGGAAAAATAAATCAAGAATAGCAAATCAGAAAACATAAAAGACAGAGAAAGCACCAAAGATTCAACAAGTGCAAGACATCCTATTGTACAGACCTGTGAATACTTTGTTTCTCATAGATTGTAACAAGTGTGATATGTGAAGTGTAATAAACATTTCAACAGACTAAAAATACTTTGTAGCACACCAAGAACAAGTATGATCACATCAAAGTTGAAACAGTAGTACTGGGCAGTATGATAAAAATGTAAAAGTCTCAAGATACACTGAGGCATAATAGAGATGGCAAACAATATAATGTAATTTATAAATACATTTTTTTTAAAATCACACACATAAAACAAAACTAAAACTGCCAATACTATATAATAACCACCTGATCAGTCATGTGTATGTAATTATAGCACATGGGAGGGAAAAAAACAAGTTCTGTTTTATACCATGAATAACAGTGAATATAAAATACAAGACATAAGCGGAGAACCACGATATTAACATATCTTCTATTCAGGAAAGTATGTGCTATTATAACATACATATGACTGATCATATGCTCCATTTTAGCAGTTCTTGAAATGACCCTTTTTTTAGTTAATGTATTTTTATATTATTTTGTACCTGTTTAAAGTCAGCAGATTTCAAATTGTAGAGGTCTCCAACAGTCTGCTCAACTTTGTTCTATATGTAGATTTTTTTTAATGCAACAAAACAGACATCCCCGATTTATCAACCCATAGCATGTAAGGTACCTACTAGATTCGATTCTAGACACAAATGCTAGAAAATATTCTATTTATTCATTGAACTCTCTGCACGCACATTGTTAACACTCATGATAACCCCAGTAGATGCACACCCACGGCTGATTTCTTCCATTGCGATAGAATATGCCAAGTAATCAAGTCCAGCACCACCAAGTTCTTCAGGGACCTCCACTGCCAATAAACCCATTTTACCCATCTGTAGAATCTGAAATAAAACAAAATAACGGAAACAAAAAGGAGGAATTTCAATGTTAACAAGATCATAGCGTAGCCTTAGAGAGTCTGTGTGTGTATTGAATGGCACAAGCATGGTGATTGTTGCACATGAACTGAAGTACCTTTAATGCTTCTCCATGGAGGGGCATGGGCTTAGCTGAGATCACTATCACCAATAATTTTGATGGTGGGGTATCGGAAAGATAACATCAGCAAGACTGGCACTGCGAGGGATGAATGGGGAGTATAACTTATTTTACTTTTAAAGGGGTGCCATAAATCAAGAGGAAGAAATTCTAATGCTAGAAATGCTCTTGCAACAGAGTTTTCCTGACATTATTCATGTTAGCATTTACTCATGGGTTAGCTCCTCCCCTCACAGCAGAAAGGACAGGAAATAGAACTCTGAAACTGGTATAAATAGATCCTCCCCATTCTCATCAGGCAGTCTTTTTTTCCTGTCCTTCACAACAGTTTGGAAGGAGTCTACTTATGCAGGCCTAGATTTTTCTTTTATGCTCACCAGGCAATATTTTTGTAGCCCTGCCGGGGTTCAGCCTCTAAGCCCTGAAGACCCAGCAACGCACTATTGTTAATACTTCAAACCTGGGTACCCCCTTTAGTGACCAGGGGTCGGACCCAACCTCTCCCTTAAGGGATGAAAATGGTCCACTGCATGCCAGGGTTCAGCCTCTTATCCTTGAAGACCCAGCAACAGGCCAGCTTGGGTACCCCCTCAGGGGATGAATGTGATATACTGCCTACAGGAAGCCAGGCCAGGGTTCAGCCTCTTATCCCTGAAGACCCAGCAAACAGCACATCTGTAACAGTTGCCAGCCTGGGTACCTCCTTCAGCAATCGGGAGTCTGACCTATCTCTCTCCCTGAGGGGATGACAGTGGTCCACTGCATACATGAGGCCCAACCGAGTCTAAGCCTTTATCCTTGAAGACCCAGTAAACAGCACTTCCATAAGGTGACTACCTGGGTATTCCTGTTCTATGTGTTCCACCTTGTATGGGGTTGGTTAAACCTCCTCCCACTGGTGATGATGGACAGCATATGGGGTACAGATGGAAGCCTATAGTTTAAACAGTTTAAGCTGTCAGTTGTTCAAATCCCCATTTTGCCGCTGAAACAGAGGCCTGCAGCTGTTCAGGTAAGTGCAATAGTAATTTAGAGTAAAACTAGTATAGGCACCTGGGTCTCTGTTCTTTCAGTCCCTCCCAGCTGCTTACATTAGGCTTCCTTATAACAAATAGGTCACATTTAGGAGGTTTGTGTGGTGAGCATTTAGGTAAGTTTATACAAGAAAGGATTGGCTTGGTGCAAAAGAGTGCTGATAATGCAAGGAAGCACTGTGCAAAAGAGTGCTTATGAGCAATGAGGCACTGTGACAAAGAGTGCTAATAATGGATATCCTTGCTGTATAAAGTCTGCTGGAATTTCACAGTCCTGAAGAAATATCCAAGGTAAGAGAACTTTCCTGGGTGTCTGATTGAAGTACTCATATGTATATGACAGGTTTTAAAAGCCTAACTAAGTCCACACACACACACTTGTTCCTATCAAGATATGTGGCATTGATTGCTGTTATCTGTGCATTATCGCAAATAAGCAGGCTTTTCCAGAGAGTGGAAGAATATACTGCATATGAGACCACGGGGCCTCAGTATCCATACATAATCTGGTGGTGGTACAGCATCAGTATGTTTGCACTTTATGCTCTAATGTATGAACAGACTGTGTCCAGTATATGCTCCATGTATGCGTTACTATAAGGGCACGGCCTCAGTGTATGTATCCACTATATGCTCTATGTAGGAGTTACTAGGAGGATACGGCCTCAGTATATATATCCACTACATGCTCTATGTAAGAGTTACTGTGAGTATACCGCCTCAGTATAAGTATCCTCTATATGATATATATAAGAGTTTCTATTGAGACACAGCCTCGGTATATGTAGCCACTATATGCTCTATGTGTGAGTTTCAATGGGGACAGCCTCAGTATATGTATCCATTATAGGCTCTATGTGTGAGTTTCAATGGGGACAGCCTCAGTATATGTATCCATTATAGGCTCTATGTATGAGTTACAATGAGGACGCTGCCTCAGTTTATATATGCACTATATGCTCTATGTGTGAGTTACTGTGAGGACAGAGCCTCAGTATAGGTATCCACTATAGGATATATGTATGAGTTACTATGGAGACACAGCCTCAGTTTATGTATGCACTATATGCTCTGTGAATGAATTACTATGAGGACACAGCCTCAGTATATGTATCCACTATAGGCCATATGTATGAGTTACTATGGAGAGATAGCCTCAGTATATGTCCTCTACATGCTCTATATGTAAGCTGATGTGGACATTGCTTCAGGGGATCTGTTCACAATATGCTTGATGTATTAACATATTCTTTAGAACTGCGTACCTTTCCTTAAAGCATAATCTTTATAATTTGGAGAATGTACTAATCATATATGCAGTATTCTCTTTTATCCCTTGGGGACCTGAGAGTTTGGCAATCCCTTTAGGATATGTCAGGGGTGGCTTGCTTTTGGTTCTAAAGGAATTAAATGTTCAGAAATTTCTGACAAGATTCCCCTGTTGTGAAGGGGAATATTATAAATTCCTTTCTGCAATAAAATGTATTCTTTTAGGCTCATATGATCCAGGTAAGTTTTCGATACTTTGTATTGCAAGCATTTTAATTGACACTGGAAGGTCTTTCTAGTCCCCAGGCCATTGTACCAGGTTTACTATTTCAGGTAAAATTCACCTGCTACCAGAACAATAGAGGAAATCCCTGAACAGGTAACTCCATTACGGTCCTCTCTTCTGATATTCATGGGGATTCTTCTAGGGGTCCTTATATCTGGAATTTGCAACCAATGTGTGGCTTTAAGTGGTTGATTCATCCTGCATAATATAGTGTAATGCAGCTTGTTGATGACAAACATTTGACTGATATGTTTTACAGGGTCTCTGACCTAGATCTGACCTCATGGTCACTCCTAACATTGCGTTGATTTAATACTTGTGGATTATATACTTGTATTGGTGTTGATAACTTGCAGATAATACAAACTTCTTATTATCACCATAAGTACTTCATCACTATCTGAAGATAAGGTAAGAGTAAGTATGCGGTTGTTCTCATAACGATAACTGAATATCTTCTACTATCCTGCTTATTATGTGTCTGTTGCCACAATGTATAATGTGCCTCTGGTTACCACCTTCCCATCAGTATCTTGATAGAGATTATATATATATATATATATATATATATATATATATATCTTACTTATGTTGCACAACAGTCTCTAATAATTTATTAGAGACTGTTGTGCAACATATATATCTTACTTATGTTGCACAACAGTCTCTAATAAATTTGATTATACTGTTTGGCATAATCTGTACTATTTACAATATGTTTCTTTGAATGTAGGTACTGACGTGATTGGCCTCCTTATAATTTAGGAGTTGCCACAAATTCTACGGTTCATACCGATGTCTTTTTTTTTTCTTTCCTTAACTAATCTGTATATGATTCTTCTTGCCTTTGCCTAGTAATGTCACTGGTTTATACCTCTCCTGTGACTGATCATTACTGTATCAATTCATCCACTGTGTGAGGTATTGTTGTGAGTCTGATTTATATATAGATATATGTATTCGTTATTGCAGTGTTTTAATAACCCTTATTTCTCTAATAGGCTCTGCCTCTTTCTGACAGGCAGATATTGATTTGTTTCCTGTATCCACAGGTAAGTAGTTCACAAGGCAAGAGGAAACAGTGTGAATCGTCATTAATAATTACATCCAGAAAGTAGTAGGATTCTCAGTGTAATTCTCCCCATGTTTAATAGCATGGTGTGTCTGTTCTCATCCAACATTCTGTTATGACTTTGTCAAAGTTCTGATCTGATGAGGTCATCAATTTGGTTTTAAATTTTATATCAAAATGGCATTATCCTTCTCTAACCTAGGCTATCATGACCTTAATTCCTTTCTGACTCTATAATTATTCAGGATATTTCAGACATTTGAATGCTAGGAGGTTGCTGTCCTTGCAGCCTCTAGATTATTTAACTTGTCTGAGCAGAATGTATGACAATATTTTATTGATGTCTTGTTTGGCTTTTTTAAAGTCTTCTAAGGTTTATGCAGCTCAATAATGGTCTTATAGCTATTAGCTGTTTTTGAACTCTGTCCCTCCCTCTATATATACTGCTTGGGTATTCCCCATGAGTAAATGCTGCCATGAATAATGTCAGGAAAAAGGGAAAATTTGCTTCATACTTATCGTAATTTTCTTTTTCTGATCATTATTCATGGCAGCATTACGTTCCCACCCATATACTTTAACCCCTTAATGACAACTTCTGGAATAAAAAGGGAATCATGACGGAATATTTCCATCATGTGTACTTAAAGGGCTAAGATGTGAAGCTAGTTACAAAGACTGCCTGATGGGAAGGGGGATGATCTATTTATACCAGTTTCAGAGTTCTATTTCCTGTCCTTTCTGCTATGAGGGGAGGAGCTAACCCATGAGTAAATGCTGCCATGAATAATTATAAAAAGAAAATTACAGTAAGTATGAAGCATATTTTCCTTTTTCTCTTAATTCAGGACCCTCACTCATTATGGACTTACCAGGAGAAGCATTGTGGAGACAAGGACAATGTATTTCTCTCTCCCCATCTCTTCTACCAGCATATCATTGCAGGAAAGTGGTGGATTAAAGGAAAACTCCATGCAAAACGGCACTTATTGAATTGCAATTTATAAAATCAGCACTTTTATAAATAATTGCGGATACACCTACCCGGCTTTCAGTCAGGCAGCCAGAGAGGTTATCTTCCACTTCACTTAGCTCCACAGAGATAAAGTGTGCCTGCCTCTTCCCTATGTCCATAGACTCCTTTATTTGCCCAACTAGCTTACTAGGAAGCCTTTAACACCTTAAGGACTAAACTTCTGGAATAAAAGGGAATCATGACATGTCACATGTCGTGTCCTTAAGGGGTTAAAGTAGAAAACAGTGTGTGGGTGAACCTGTTGCTCAAAATCAGAGGCTTCTCAATGACTGACTGGTCAGTGCAAGAACACAAAAAGTCTGTGGCAGAAAAAGGACACTGCTTGCAAAGGCTGCAGATAAGAGTTCCTCAGTCTTTGGAGGCCATTGTAGATATACCCACACTGGAAACAAAGTGCTTGTATGTTATCACAAAGGGCATATCGACTAAATAGGGCTTTCCTCTTTTTTTCTCTTTAAAGGAACACTATAGTTACCTAAATTACTTTAGCTAAATAAAGCCGTTTTAGTGTATAGATCATTCCCCTGCAATTTCACCGCTCAATTCACTGTCATTTAGAAGTTAAATCACTTTGTTTCTGTTTATGCAGCCCTAGCCACACCTCCCCTGGCTAGGATTGACAGAGCCTGCATGGAAAAAAAAAAACTGGTTTCACTTTCAAACAGATGTAATTTACCTTAAATAATTGTATCTCAATCTCTAATTTGAACTTTAATCACATACAGGAGGCTCTTGCAGGGTCTAGCAAGCTATTAACATAGCAGGGGATAAGAAAATCTTAATTAAACAGAACTTGCAATAAAGAAAGCCTAAATAGGGCTCTCTTTACAGGAAGTGTTTATGGAAGGCTGTGCAAGTCACATGCAGGGAGGTGTGACTAGGGTTCATAAACAAAGGGATTTAACTCCTAAATGGCAGAGGATTGAGCAGTGAGGCTGCAGGGGCATGTTATATACACCAAAACTGCTTCATTAAGCTAAAGTTGTTCAGGTGACTATAGTGTACCTTTAAATTGGAGTGTTTCTTTACTAGCTGGAGCTGCTATCCAAGACTTTAACTCCAGCTAAAGTTTGGCAAACCAGAACCTGGTGCCCCCCTGCAGCGTGTGACCTCTGCTGTATGTGGACTCTGTGCCAGTCTGCTGCAGTACCTGATCCCGGGGGAAGAGGTGCTCCCGGTCCAGTTTAGCGGCTATGGGCTGCAGTTCCCTCTCGGCGTAGTCCCTGCAGGTGTCCCTCAGCATGCGGTGTGTGTCCGGCAGCTCCACACTCTGATAGACGGTGTGCAAGGACCGGAGAGCTGGGGGACAGAGAAGGTCATCAGCGACAAAAGTGGAAAACACGGGACAACCTCTCCCCCCCAATCCCATTATATTTCCAACTCACTAGTTCGAGCCGCCCAGCAGCTCCGGCCCAGGACTGACATTACCGGCAACATCCCGAAACCTGCACTCCACTGTCCGCGGACTGCCCGGGCACCGCTCCACACCGCGGCTGGGAGGCGCATGGCAGTGACGTACAATGTACGCTGCCATCTGACCGGTCACGTGCGCCTTGTAAACATAGCGAACCTGGCTCAGGGCTGGTGTATAATGTAAACACTGCAAGCCTGGCTCAGGGCTGGTGTATAATGTAAACACTGCAAGCCTGGCTCAGGGCTGGTGTGTAATGTAAACACTGCAAGCCTGGCTCAGGGCTGGTGTGTAATGTAAACACTGCAAGCCTGGCTCAGGGCTGGTGTGTAATGTAAACACTGCAAGCCTGGCTCAGGGCTGGTGTATAATGTAAACACTGCAAGCCTGGCTCAGGGCTGGTGTATAATGTAAACACTGCAAGCCTGGCTCAGGGCTGGTGTGTAATGTAAACACTGCAAGCCTGGCTCAGGGCTGGTGTGTAATGTAAACACTGCAAGCCTGGCTCAGGGCTGGTGTATAATGTAAACACTGCAAGCCTGGCTCATGGCTGGTGTATAATGTAAACACTGCAAGCCTGGCTCAGGGCTGGTGTATAATGTAAACACTGCAAGCCTGGTGGGTAAACACTGCAAGCCTGGCTGGTGTATAATGCAAACACTGCAAGCCTGGCTCAGGGCTGGTGTATAATGTAAACACTGCAAGCCTGGCTCAGGGCTGGTGTGTAATGTAAACACTGCAAGCCTGGCTCAGGGCTGGTGTATAATGTAAACACTGCAAGCCTGGCTCAGGGCTGGTGTATAATGCAAACACTGCAAGCCTGGCTCAGGGCTGGTGTATAATGTAAACACTGCAAGCCTGGCTCAGGGCTGGTGTATAATGTAAACACTGCAAGCCTGGCTCATGGCTGGTGTATAGTGTAAACACTGCAAGCCTGGCTCAGGGCTGGTGTGTAATGTAAACACTGCAAGCCTGGTGTATAATGTAAACCTAGCGAGCCTGGCTCAGGGCTGGTGTCTGAATGTAAACACTGCAAGCCTGGTGTCTGAATGTAAACACTGCAAGCCTGGTGTATGAATGTAAACACTGCAAGTCTGGCTCAGGGCTGGTGTATGAATGTAAACACTGCAAGCCTGGCTCAGGGCTGGTGTATGAATGTAAACATTGCAAGCCTAATGTATAAATGTAAACACTGCAAGCCTGGTGTATAAATGTAAACATTGCAAGCCTAGTGTATAAATGTAAACATTGAATCCTGGCTCAGGGCTGGTGTATAATGTAAACACTACAAGCCTGGTGTATAATATAAACAATGCCAGTCTGGTGTATAATATAAACATTGCAAGCCTGGTGTATGAATGTAAACATTGCCAGCCTAGTGTTTAATGTAAACATTGCAAGTCTGGTATGTAATATAAACATTGCAAGCCTACTGTATACAGTAAACCTTGCAAGCCTAATGTATAAATGTAAACATTGCAAGCCTAGTGTATAATATAAACATTGCAAGCCTGGTGTCTGAATGTAAACATTGCAAGCCTGGTGTATAATATAAACATTGCAAGTCTCTAACTCTACTATAGTCACGCTTGACTAATTTAGCAGCAGTTTTATAATTTGGATTTTTTTCAGCTAAAACATGGATTAATTTACACTGACGATAGCCATTGTTTTGCAAATTTGGTCTTTCTCATGCTTGTCACCTCATCCAAGGTCTCAAGGAGATCTACAGACTACAGATATGTTAATAATGCTGCCCAGAAATATATAGAATGCACATGCTACCTGAGAAACTTAGTTAATGATGCACTCCATTGGAATTGGCAAATTTTTAATACATAGATTTAAAAAAAAAAAAAAATATTAGCTCCATAATTTTAAGCAAATCTACACCTATAACATCATCAGTCTTTAGCATTGCCCAGTCCAGGAAGTAGCCTGGCCAATCAGGATCCTCAGATTCTGGCCGTAGTCATGTTGAAACCATTACTACCAATTGTAATATGGTGGGAATCAGTTTTAGTTATTAGAGCAGAGTTGTCAGGGACTTCTGGTTCAGTTATCATCAATCTACTTATAAAAACAGATAGCAGAGCTACAGCTCACAGAAAGCTTTGTTGGGCTTTCTAATTTTATGTACATACATGTTATTTAACAATGACGGTTAGGTAGGTTACAGTAACCTGCAAAAATGAAGTATATTTAAATGGGGAGGTGAGACAGAAGAAACAGTGTTAATATTCCCACTGCAGCAAAACATATTAGGGGTTATGTATAAAAAGGGTCACACTGTAAGCAGTGGTGTATCCTGGTTTTGTGCTGCCCTAGGCAGGACAAAACTCAGGCGCCCTCCCCCCCCACCGCGCCAACCCCCCCAACCTTTCCCCCCGCCTTCTAAATACACACACACACACACACACACACATTCACTGACAGATATGCATACACTCGCTAACAGAAACACACACACACACACACACTAACAGACACACACTCACTGACACACACACACAGTCAGACACACACACTCACTAGCAGACACACACACACTCACTGACACACAGTCAGACACACACTAACAGACAAACACAGTCAGACACACACACTAGCAGACACACACACAAACTCACACACACACTAACAAACACACACACATTAACAGACACACACTTACTGACACACACACTCACAGGCAAACACACTCACACTAACAGACACACACACACACTAACAGACACACACACTCACAGGCAAACACACACTCACTGACACACAGTCAGACACACACATACACACTAACAGACACACACAGTCATACACACACTCACTCACTAGCAGACACACACACTCACACAGTCAGACACACACTATCAAAACACACACACATTAACAGACACACACTGACTCACTCGCATTAACACATTTTTTTTTTTATTCACCCCCCCCCAACCTCCTTACCTTTGGGAGTGCTGGGGGGGGGGGAGGGGTTCATTACCTCCCTGGTGGTCCAGTGGTTGCCGGGCTGGGCTGGGCGGGCGGCTGGCGAGGGAACTCTTCCCCTGAGCGGTCTGCTCAGCTCCATCGCGCGCCGCAGAGTGAGGCTGGGAGCCGGAAGAGCTCCCTCGCCAGCCGCCCACCCGCCCAGCGCCCAGCATGTCTGTTAGCCGCGAGGCTAACAAGGAATTTGCCCTGGGCATTTGGGGGGGCGGCGTTTTTTGCCGCCCCCTGAAAAATGCCGCCCAAGGCAAATGCCTTGATTGCCTCGCGGCTAAAATGCCCCTGACTGTAAGACATATTGGGGATCATGTATAACAAAAACAAGTATCACTTTTTCCCTATTTATTTGCACCAGATTATTTTTTACTCTTGTTGTAGACAAAAATATTAACTCAATTTATGATAGTAAAATGCCTATTTACTCAGCATACCTACAATCAGCATTATTCAACTTTATATGTGATTTACCTAAGATAGCCGCAAGGGAGTTTCCCTTTGACATCGACTAACACCCTCACTAACAAGATGGCGCTGGAATCTGGGGGAGACCTCCAAGATACCAGTGACATCACACCCAGTAGGAAGAGCAATAAATGAACCACTTAACACCTAACCAATTATTGATGTATTATTTCATGTTATCTCTGACAAAGCATATGATGTAATTTTGCTTTATAAGGGGCATGCCGTCCCCTCAGAATAAACATTCCTCAAGTTTTTCATTAACCCGAAACCTGTGTCTGGTGTGAATTACTTTAGGAGCGTGCACGCACTACTGCTTTAATTTGGCCAGGGGCAGATACACAAGATAATCAATTAACTGATTGATTCCACATCAACTCTCAGATCATTTTATTTTCCTGTTCCAATTTTTTATTCATTTCAGACAAGACAGATTAGTTTGGCTGTACATTGAGTACTGAGACACAGTTGGTCTGGGATGCAGGAGAGCGGCTATCTCTCCCACACCCATGCCGAAATAGGCCACCATAGCTATGCTCTGTCGTATTGCTTCTAGAGGCTCACTTGGATACTCCTACGTAAGCCTTAGTGTTTCCTGGAGACAGCTAGATAGGTCTGATATTTTCTATTCGAATTTAGAAGTATTTAGACAGAAAAATATAACAGACAGTTCAGGAGCTACTGCGCCGTGCATCCTCTCCGAATGGTGGTCATGCTCCTCTCCCAAGTCTCTGTTTTTAAATGTTTCATAATGCATTCGCCAGGTATGTTTACCAACTCCATCTTGTCCCCCATAAGACTTCTGTTTATTTTTTATTCCATGTGGCAGACAGCAAGCAAGCGTTGGCCACATAAAAACCCTAGGCAGCATGAGGTTTAATTAACTATTTGCTTACTAACGCTGCCAGCGGGCAAACAGTTCTGTTTTTTGTTTCGTTTTCTTAATATGACCACTGAGTTGAAGCCTCTAGGCCTGGATTAACTAATTCGATCCGCATTTTATGTCTCGTGCAACTGAAATCCAGACCAAATTCATGCCTGTTCGGAGCCTGAATTACAAAATCTGGATTTTAATGAATTCTATCAACAATGTTTGGATTTTGAAGTCCTAATGTTCCTGTATGCAGCCAGATGGTTTTGCCCCATCTGGTTCAGGGCTATTTGGACTTTAGTGAAAAACTGTTTATATTGGACCTTGATCATAGAAGGAGTCTCAAATAAAGTGCTGGCCAGCAGCTTGTTAGTAGAAGCAGAGCATCCAACACCTTGTAGGTATCCTTTACCAGTGTACACGAACATCTACTAAAACATACACAATCAGGCAAATGCAGTCTCCTCCAAAACCATAAATTATGCAGACGACTTTCCCGCACTGTCAGCACAACCAGATGAGCCTCAGCCATTTTTAGTTTTTTTAAAATATGTTTTCCAACAGCTTTATAATTTTATAAAATAAAAATTGTGTGTGTGCTTATGTGTGTTTGTGTGTGTATATATATATATATATATATATATATATCCTGCTGTATAAAATATGAGAAATCTTAAGATACATATAACAAAACAAATGGCAGTGTAAGGATTAGCAATATTTTACCATACACCAGATCCTAAGCAAAAACTGACTTCTGGACACACAGCAGCTCTATTATTAACCCTCACATCACTGCTTATGGTGAAAGACCAAATGGAAGCATGAGTTTGTGT